GGCCAGACCACCTCGCGCGCGGCATTTCAGAGCTCAGAGTTTGGAGGACGTCTCAGACGAAACGGGCTGGACCACCTCTCGCGCGGCATCTCGAAATGCAAAACTGCGAGGATGTCTCAAATGAAACGGGCCGGACCACCTCTTGGGCGGCAGCTCGGGGCTCAGAGTCTGGAGGATGTCTCAAGCGAAACGGGCCGGACCACCTCTCGCGCGGCATCAGAGAGCGCAAAGTTACGAGGATGTTTCAGGCAAAACGGGCCAGACCTCCTCGCGCACGGCATATCAAGGCTCAGAGTTTAGAGGATGTCTCAAGCAAAACGAGCCGAACCACCCCTTGCGCAACATCTTGGATCCTAGAGTTTCGAGGATGTCTCAGGCGAAATGGGGTGGACCACCTCTTGCGCGGCATCTCAGAACTCAGAAGTGCGAGAGTGTCTCAGGCGAAACGCGCCGGACCACCTCGCGCACGGCATCTCAGTGCTCAGAGTTGCGAGGATGTCTCAGGCGATACGGGCCGGACCACCTCTCGCGCGGCATCTGGGAGCTCAGAACTTGGAGGATGTCTCAGGCGAAACGGCCAGGACCACCTCTCGCGCGGCATCTCAGAGCTCAGAGTTTGGAGGACGTCTCAGACGAAACGGGCTGGACCACCTCTTGCGCGGCATCTGGGAACTCACAGTTTGGAGGATGTCTCACGCGAAACGCCCAATCCCGGACAACTCAGAAACGAGAGTTGCGAGGACGTCTCAGGCGAAACGGCCCGGACCACCAAATTGTTGTTGAGGACGTCTCTGCTTTGATTCCCCTCGGCCGGAGTTAGCTTCTATCACAACAGCACCCCGTTCAGCAAGCTATTTGGGGAACAACAAAACAAATAATATATATATATATATAGGGAGAGAGAGAGAACAAACAAAATAAACAAAGAAAGTGAGACCGAAGAGGGGATAACGAGAGAGAGAGAGGGAGAGAGAGAGAGAGAGAGAGAGAGAAAGAGGGCCCCCGCCCAGGGAGGGGGGTCTCCAGCGCTGCTCCAGCAAAAAGAACGTGCGGACACCCGACGGCTCACTTCCCAAACAGCGCTCGCCTATCACATTCTGCATTGGCTTCGTTCAAAGAAAACACATAAACACATGCACCCAGCGTGTTAACAAAGGACGGCCCCGGCCAGGGATGCTCTGAGAACATCTCGTGGAGACCACGAACGGCTCTCAGCACATTGCTTGGTAGGCCTGCAGGCAGGCCAGGACGCTTCTTCACCGCTTGAGTGTGGCTGGTTTCCCGGGCGTTCGCCACGCTGTGGCCCGAGCCGCCTCGTGGCCGCCCCGCGCGTTGGGCGTGCGTGCCGAGACTTTTTGGCGCCACGGCTGCCGCCCGGCTGCCGCCTCCTGGGCGCACGGCGGGTGCCCCGCTCGCTCGTGGGGGGGGGGGATAGGCCGAGGTTGCGCCACGGCTCCCGCCCGTGACGCCTCGTACGAAGGGGCCCTGGGACACACACAAGTGAATATGTACCAATCCCCGGATCCCCAGCACTGTTCTACTTCCCATTGTTTGGGATCCCCGGATCCCCGGATCCCCGAATCCCCGGATCCCCGGTTTGGGTCTGCGCCCCCACTTCCCATGAGTTCCCGAATTCTCCGAGGGATCGACGATTCACTGTGTCTGTGTGTTTTGTCCCCCCCCCCTGATCGTCGTCGGCTCCTGAGCGCCCCGTTCGCTGGAGGGGTATGCCGAGGCTGCGCCACGCTGCCGCCTCGCGGGCACCCCGTGCTGGGAGCTCACACGGCGCAGCTTTCGCCACATGCGGTCAACCCGCAGAGTAAGGATGCGCGATAATGATGCAAGTCGGCGACTACAATGGGTGCGGTTTGCGAAGGGTGCGGTTTGCCTCCCGTCATATCTGCCCCTCCCGCCCCCGGGAAACGAATGACACTGTCACTCAATGCGACCGAATCACATGACACTGTTGCTCCTTCTAGTGCAGTGGAGCACACATCGAGGATGACAGTGTCGCTGGAAACGACGACAAAAGTGGCATTGCCTCTCACAAAGGCCCCGGAAAGGCCACCACAAAGCAACTCGCAAACCGCACCCCGGCGTAACCGCACCAATTGTAGTCGCCGAGCAAGGCCCTTGGACGCCCATTTCGAAGCGTTTCGAGCGGGGCGCGGCCAGCGAAAGTGTTCAAGGATGGATCTAGGAAGCAAGGATGCCAGGGTGCCCTCGGGAGGGATGCCTAGCCTTACTCTGCGGGTCGACTGTACATCTCATATACTGCCCGGTCAAAACATAAATGGGATCCACCACCTTCCTCCACGGGATTATCAGTACCCGCTGCGGCACTGGCTGCCTCTGGAGGGCCCACCATTCCCCCCCTCGCATCCCTGTCAGATAGTACACTGCGCTTGCGCTTGGTTATAACACCACATTATCTTGCAATGGCCCCTCTGAACAGAAGCAACAAAGACCAAATCCGTGCCGCCGAGCGCATGTCAAACTCAATCGAACACCATGATTAAGTTCTGGGTAAGCTTGAAGTCGCGGCTTCTAAACACACAAACACACACACACTCGCAGACACACGGAAAACACAAGGACAACCAACATGGATTGTCTGCGCACGCGCGCTCGCTGAATCCTGGGGAAAACGAAATGTGTTTACCATTTTGTCAAATCGCACCGCTTAGACCACTGCCGCGCACATGTCGAAAACGTTGAACCACCATCGCGCCCCACAAACTTTATCAAATTCGCTGGCCCAACGGCCAGATGCGTGCTAAGATTCCCATACAACAAATTTAGACTACTTCTAGTTCGCGCGCGCGGGACCGCCACTGGGGGTCCTCGGACGAAACATACCCTGCCAACGTCCCGGCAAGGTGGGCTCAAGGATGTTGGAACTCCCCAGGGCGGTCTTCAGGACACCCAGGAGCGCTCCAGGAGCGCCCGGAGGGAACCCAACGGAGTTCTAAGAGGGCACTCCAGTCGAGATCAATGGGAAGCAGGCCTCAAGATGGCCCGAAGAAAATCCCACAAGGCTTCAAGATACCTTCAACATGACCACAGGCAGCCCCAAGAGCGGCCCCGGAGGCCAAACAAAAAAAGATGTTCCCACGGTGCTTGAAGGATTTTGACCTGGACACCTTTCGCTTCCCCGACGCTCCCAGACGGTCCAAGAGGCCCCAAGATCGCTCCAAGACGGCTCAACAAAAGACTCCGAGAGGGCCTCCGAATGGCCTAAGACGGCCCAAGAGGCCTCCAAGACGACCACCACATGGCCCCCGGCGGGGGGAACCCGAACGGACATGTCGAGCTCTCGGCCCCGAGAGGCGCCCAGGAAGCCTCCAGAGGGCCCCAAAGAGCCCCCCAAGAGGCCCCACGAGGCCCCCGAGAGGCCCCCAAGGAGACCCTCAGAGACCCTCAACAGGCCCCCAGGAAGCCTCAAGAGGCTCCCAAGAAGCCCCCCAGAGGCCCCCCAGAGGCCTCAAAATTGATCCCCAGAGGCTCCCGAGAGCCCTCCGAAGAGACCCCAAGAGGCATCCATGAGGACTCTGAGCAACAACCCAGGTACGTCTCGAAACTTTGCTGGAGCTCACTCGAGCCATCTTGGCGCCCTGTGGGGCAGTCTATCGGCTCTCGTCGACAGGGCGCGAGCCACATCTCAAAAGATCTCCTCGAGGACACTCCTGCCTGCCCTGCCATTCCCCCTGGGCACGCGCACACCACCACGCAGCCAGTGATGTGAACTGGGCCGGCGGAGTGAGCAAAGCGGATAAATGAAAACATGCAGGCCACGCGCACACGTTTCCGCAAGCGCACGCTGAGATCATGTCAGGATGGCTTGATTGCTGCGGGTGCGCTTTTTTTCTCATCAGCATCATCAGCGCAAACGTCATCATCGTCGTCGGCGTCGTCATTGCCATCGTCATCATCATCCACATCTGCATCATCATTATCAGCACCGTGGTCGGGATTATCTGCATCATCGTCATCGTCGACGCCGACGCAATTGTTGACGTCGTCATGATATCGCGCCCGCCCTGGTCACCGCCCCGGACTGAAATACCCGCGCGCCAGCGCGACCTTTGAGACGCGCTGGGCAGTTCCCATTGGTAAACACCATCGCGGCCAAGCTGGCCGATCTGCGCGTGAGCGGGCGCATGCCAGTGCGACTCATGATACCATGCCAACCCGAATCACCGACCCAGACTGAAATGCCCGCGCGCAAGCGCGACATTTGAGAAGCGATCGAGAGCTCCCATGGGTAATCGCCTCCGCGGCCGCATCATTTGTGCCACACCAGCTGGCCGATCTTTGCGTGAGCGGGCGAGCGCCAGTTCGACCGCAAGTATGCGCCAACATGTTTCAGTAGGCAACCGCAATCGCAGGTTAAGGGGTTTTGCCAAGCAAGTTGCGGGCGGGAAGGTGGGATGTTTCTGCGAACATTGGGGCTGACAGCTCATCAGTGGCGAAATCGCTAACACCCCGTAGCTTTCACATCGAGTTCGCAGCCACAGGCTTCAACTACAAAGTTCACATCACCTAGCTTACGCAGCAGAAGGAGTCCCCACCTCATCAGCTCAACCCACATAGCATACACGACACAGCTTTCACCACATAGCTTACACAGCATAGCTTTCACCTCCCTCTTAGGGTCCAGGCTGGCTACGTAACATGTTTATGTAGTGCTTCATTCTCGACGTGCGTTTTTCGCGCCTGCGTGACGCCTGGATGCACGAAGGGCGTCCGAGGAAGACCCGCGAAGGAACCCAGGGAGCATCATCGAGAACCACTTTCGAGGCAGGAGTCTGCTTCATCACAGCTCTTCGACTGCAGGAAGATGAAGGACATGACAACGGGAAAGTCAACAACCAGAAATCCAAACGGGGCGCGCCTCGATGTCGGCGCCCAATCCATCTCGACCAAAGTCGGTGTTGCCCTTGTGCTGGCCAGCATGTTCAACGATCGTGGGTTTGCGCACCACCTGGGCGCGTCAAGGTTCAAGGCCACGATGTCGACCTGGCTGAGATGCCGCGGGAGAGATGGAACAGAGAGAGAGAGGGAGGGAGAAGATGATGGCGAAGAAGCGGACGAAGACGGGGACAAAGCCAAGGACAGGAGGCGGTGAAGGCGCGGACGAAGAGGACAAGACCGAGAGACGAGGGGGGCCTGAGGGAGGCGTGGGCGATCCGACGGCGCGTGGCTGCCGCCAGCCGCAAGAAGCGCTCAACAGTGTTGTTGCCTTGGCGGGAACACCGAATTGGTGACCCCCACAGGAAGCGGCGACAGACCGTGCGGTGCCCTCGAACCCCCCTGAAAACCTCACCGAACGGGCCGTCGCCGTGCCGTTTTGGAGCCTCGGAGGCCCCAGTCGCCTGAGACGTCCTCGGAGAACGTTTCGAGGTCCAAAACCGTGCGCATACCCCGCATCGCCACTGACTCGCCACACCCGCCCTCGTCCGAATGCTTGGCTCCTGGGCCATGGCTCGGCTGCCCAGGGGCCGTTCCGGGACGCCGCGGGCAGCGCGGCGTGCTCCCGGTCACGGGCTGCTGCTGGAACGCCTCCCGAGGCAGACAGACCCACAGAAACACCGACAAGAACTCCAGACAGTCCCGAAGCCCTACCGACTCGCCACGCGCCGTGGGCACCGCGCCGTGCGAGGGGCCCCGAAGCCAGGCCGCCGCCGCACCAGGAGCGGGAGCACCGGGCCCGCGCGCCGGCCCGTCCAGGAGAGGGGCCGGCAAAGCTCGGGGGCGGCAAAGAGGGGGGCGTCCAAGAGGGGGGGGGTGCAAATCATGGCCTGCGGCACGTGCGCGGCCCAGCGGGGGGGCCAGGGACGCATTGAAACAAGAAGGGGCGCCATGAAATCTGGGGAGATATCATGACCCCCGCCATGATATCCCCCCCCTAGTCATCACCCCCCTCTTTTCCGCCCCCGAGAAGCATGGCCTGCGGCATGTGCGCGGACCGGGGGGGGGGCCGGGAACGTCCTGAAACGGGACGAGTGGCCCAGAGATCGGGGGAGATGTCGTGGCCCCCCCCCAGCATGTGCGCGGACCGGGGGGGGGGGAGTCGCGGGAACGCCCTGACATGGGAAGCGTGGTCGCGAAATCTGGGGAGATATCGTGGCCCCCCCGGTCGTCACCCCCCTCTCGCAGGGAGCCCACAACTCGCAATCGCTTGGATGTCCATTCCCTGTGTTTTTTTGGGGGTGTCGTGCGTGTATTTTTTCGCAACGTGAACAAAAAATGCTCCTCGATGGCCCTTGCAGACAAAAAGTGCACACGTCCGAGCGATGCCAAGATAAAACGTGCGCGTCCAACCACGCGCATGCATGCGGCCCTCGAGTCCGCGAAGCCAATTTCGTGATGCGAACGCTCGCGCAGTCTCCTGAGCCCTGGAGGCGGCGATCTGGGGATGTACGCCGCCGCCTCACCGAGGGATTATTGTGGGCTCCTTGGCCAAAGCGCAACCTCCTGGCGGCAGTGTGCTGTCAACCTGGCACGGGCCTCCTCGGGGCCCGCCTCACCCGCTGCTGTTCCGGGTGGCTTGCCTGGCCACACCAGCTGTGATGCAACAGCAACGAAGAGGCTTAGCGTCTTGTGGCGCCCTGGGCGCCCCAGGATGTGCCGTCCTACCCGTGCCCTACCAGCGTTTGGGGGGCTAGCGCTTTCGCGCTTTCATCGGAATCTCGTATCGCTGGCCTCCTGACTCGGGTTCGCACCAGATCGCTCAACCATTAACGCCGTCAACGCACGACACATAGGCTAAAGAAATGCCGCCGGCTGGAGGCGAATGTCCGCGGCCAAGTCGCAACAAAAAACAATGACTGATCAGGAATAAAGCGTCCCTGCAGGCGAATGATTTTCAAGCGCGCGAGCTAGAGCATTCAGACCTGAGATACGCAAGCTAAACAATTTCCTGGGTGGTTGGGGGCGGGGGGAGGGATGCCAGGAGGACGAGGAAGAGAGGGGGATAAGTCAGCGGTTTCCTCAAGCCTTGCCGGCCTTAACAATTATTCTTGAGCGTGGGGCCACGTCACTGACCCCAACTAACTAGCGCGGGTTAGAACAATCTGGCGGCAGCAGCAACGCTACCTCGCTCTCTGGCGCGGCGGGGTAGGGGCATGGCAAGGAAATGAGGGGGCGGGAACGGAGGGCGGGGCAGGGGGAAAGGGGGCGACGGAGGGTGCCCCTGATCGCCAAGAGAGCTTGTACTCAGACCACCGAACCCGAACTCTATCGGGACCGAGCTCTTTCACTCCACCCACGCGGCTCCGAATGCTCGACTGCGCCACTACGCGGCTGAAGTGCGACTCTGGCATAGTCACGATTCTGCCGAACAAGCATAGTTGTCGGAACAATATGCAATGCCTCAATCTGGGCTCGCGAGTTCGACGCCGTAGTTCTTCGTTCGACACCTGTGAAATCATCGAGCGCAAGATGCCCAGTATGTACTGGAACGCGCTGCCCATGAAATGCGTCCAGCTTGTCCTGGTCGGCTTCCTTCGGGCAGATCGTCTCTGCACTGTATGAAAGCCTGCTGACGATGCGAACGCGAAACAGCATGGTCTGGCGCGTTCGTGAGATGTTCGCGCGTCGCCACACTAGTTTCAATTTCTGACAGGCCGGCCTTGTTTCCCCAATCCGTCTTGCACTGGAAATGCCTGTGAATCCAGCGGCGCACACCAAACCGCCCAAATACACGGCGGACGCCACTGGCTTCGCTGCAATACGCAATCCCCCTTTCTGTCCGCATGTCGGTGTCATGCGTGACTGTCAGACGCGCGGGGTTCCCCAAACTCGGTTCGAGACAGTACTCGCGGGCTCTCGGCGCGAGACAAATCAAGAATCACTGCGCTCTCGGAATACCATCGGATACAAGCCGTGCCATCTGCAAACGTCACATCGAAGAAAGCGCCGTCACGTGGCACCAACCCGAGCAGAGTCGCCACGTCAATTCAACGTCCGTCATGACAACAGTCAGCATGATGATAACTAAGCAGATAGGGGCTGAATGAGCACTCTTGTTGAATGCCTGCGCGGATTGACCTAACTCCAGAAGACCTGTGTCCGTCTATAACCATCTCGAACGTGCAGTCCGCGTAGAGGCTGGCAACGTGCGGTCCGCGTAGTTGCTGGCAATCATCTCCGCGTAGGCATGCTGGGGGCCGAAGCGAGCCAAGTCTACCTGGAATGCCGCCGGGCCGACCCTGCCAAAACTTTCTACCAAGCTTGAAGAGAGACCGACAATTTGCCATCCTTGCTGACTCACGCTTTCTCGACAGCCCTCTGCAGGGGGGAGGAAGATCGCGTCCGTGGAGCGTCTCTGCCTCTGGACGCCATACTGCACGTCTCTCAGCTTAGTTTCCACTGTTCCTGTCGCCATGCGGTCAATCAGAGACTCGCGAAGAAGAATGTCCTGACGCAGAGAAGGGGTATCGGCCGGTAGTTCTAGGGCACATGGTCCGTCGCCTTTCTGGAAAGCACCTGCCACTGAGAGGTGTTTCCAAGGTTCCGGGATGGACTGGCTGGCCCGGCACGTGTTGCAGAAGCCGAGGAGGGATTGGCAATCTTGGTCACAATGGCGTAGAGCCCTCCAGAATCCTGGCGGGACGCCGTCCTCGCCCGCTGCCCTGCCTTCCTGTAGCGCTGACAGAACCGCCGCCCGTTCCGCCGTGGAGAACTCTTGGGGGCCCGGGTTATCCGGGGTAACTCGGGTCCGGGGTAACGCGGGTTTGGATTCCCGAAGAAAGGAACCCGAGTTAGCCCTGACCCGAGTTACCCCTGATGATTTGGGGCCCTGGACGCCCGAGTTCTCCGGGGCAACTCGGGCCCGGGGCAACTCGGGTCCGGAATCCCGGAGAACGAACCCGAGTTAGCCCTGACCCGAGTTACCCCTGATGGTTCGGGGCTCTGAAACTCTCCGAGCGAGGTTCAGGAAGATGGTCTCGTTCAGCTGGCATCCGCGCGGAGGCTCGTGGTCGCCGGGAGGCACAACCCAATGCACGGTCTCGGCGTACGTCGCCGTAGCACCCACCAGCTTGTCGCTCTCCGCCAACATTAAAGGGGCCCCAGGACATACAAATAAATACACACAAATAAAATGATTCTCCATATTTTCCGATATTGTTGGGGCTTTCGTCTTCCCCCCCACTTCCCATAGTTTCCCATATTTTCTGGTGAGTCAACGATTAATTGTGTCTGTGTGTTTTCTCCGTCCTGAACAATGCTGTTCTTCGTCCCTGCATCGGCCTCGGCACTTCCGGCCTCTGCCGACGAAGCGCTTCAAGCTTCTCCGATCGCCTGGTGCGAGCATGTGGTCAGGCCGCTCCCTCCCCGCTCCTTCATTGCTGACCTTTTGATCTGTTTCGCCAAGTGCCTCTCCGGCAGGCCCCGTCCGGCCAACCAGGTTTGCTCGCGCAGCTCGGCAAGGTCCAACGTGCGCTGCTGTATCCAAAGGCGGCTGGGGTGCGCCGCTCTGCTTTCGAGACTCGCAAAGGCGGCCTTGCACATGGATTCTTCGATGCGGGCCGCTTTCTCCTCAGGGTCGTTGCCCGCGCCAGTCGGCTGAGGGCTCACCGTGCGGGCCACGAACTCTCAGGCAGAGCGGGCTGCCACGTTTGGAGATCGCCAGACGCCTTGTCTAGGGCAGGCGCCTTGGATCTTGGTGGGGTCCGTGGGATATCGATGTCCAGCTATACTGGGACCAACAATTGGTGCGGGGTGAAGCCGATACCCTTGTCGGAATAAATCGCCCGGGCTGACCCCTGCCAGTCGCGCTGACTAGGACGTGGTCGATCTCCGCGAAATGTCTGGAGGTCAGCTCTGACGCGCTCGCTGCTCGAGCGGCCTGTCCAAGAAAGTGTTCAAATTACGCATCGAACAATGGTCAACCAACGTGTGCTGGTTCCCCAATGGTCTGGGACATGCGCGGTGATCGCCCCAAACGATTGGCCAGACAACCTTCGATTCGCAAAGCCAAGCCGTGCTTAGAAGTCTCCCAGGGTGATCGCTGGCCCGTGTGGTTTCGTCTGCTCTGCCAACACGGAACAATTATGAAAAGAATCGTGCCTCGCTTCGAAATCATGGCGAGATTGCGGGGCGTAGGCGAAAACAAATGACACCGATCCTCCCAGAGCCCTGATTCTGCGACTGGCCAACAAGCTGCTGTAATGAAAGAAATTCATGACAGTTTACCGTGTCCACCCCACGGTGCCACCTCTCGTTCGTCTTCCAGGCTCCCTGATAGCACCACCAAGCACACCTCCGACAGGAAAAAGTGGCGCTGCAACTATCGCGAGCCTCCTTGTTGTCATGATGGAGACGCTCTGGTGCAGCTTCGTGCACTCGGTGTAGTGACGGGTGCCTTCGACGTTCATGGTGGCAACTCTGGCGATGCTTCTGGGGTAACGTGCCCTTTGGACTCTGTAATGGCTCGGCCCCCCCCTCGCTGTGGCTGTGGTACGAACTCTGGTGGAAGACCTTGATTGACAATGAAGCGCATTGTGTGCCATCCAGGGACGTTGAAGAAGATTGGTGTGCTCAGGATCGTGAGGAGGCCCAGGGAGGGCAACATGCTGAGCTCCGAGCTTGGACTGGAAGATTGGCTGACGAGGGCGAGGAGAAATGGTGGAGAACAGGGAGGAGTATCGTTTAACCGATCCCCATCCCCAGCGGCGTGGCCTGGGCCCCACTGGCCGAGTTACCCCCCTAGATGGGGCTATAGGTCGTTCCAAATCGGGTTTCGAGGGGTGTATCCCCAACTGGGGTGGTAATTTGCTGGGAGTCTTGAAGGGGATGGGGATGGGGATCGGGATCGGTTAAACGATGCTGGACAATGGTCTCCGGACCGACTCGGAGCTCCCGAAGACATTCTGGCATCCACACTGCGGCCGGTGCGTGCCCGCACCACCGCCATAATTACCAGGAGCAATCGACATGGAATCCGGACATCGGATCGGTTCGGAAAGCACAACAAATCGGGCCGCATCAGCACGGAATCGGAATCACATCGGATTGGCTGCGCCAGGTTGCACAATAGCGCCATACAAGCATCGGGCCGCGTCGGAGCGTCAGCATCGGAATCGCATCGAACAGGGCCAGCCAACATCGGATGTCGCATAGGAATGGACCCTACTATACCGGATCCGAAGCGCCCCCCCAATGACCTGCCCGGGAAACAGACTCGATCGTCGACGTTTCTGCGCGCGCGTGCGCAGCCCCGCGCCCAGTCGCAGCTGCTGGCGACCACCTTGTCAACTTTGCTCGTTTCGCAGGAACGTCTGCGAGTGGTCTCCTTAGAAGGCAGGCCGTTACTATGTCAGATGCCCTGGCTTCCCAGATCAGGGTGCGATACCATGGGCGACAAACAACACCAACCGATGGACTTACACCGGTCGGTCCATTGCCTCATACGCCGACCTCACGAAACTGCCGATCTCGACAAAGGAACTGCAACACGCTGAAGCACCACGGGGCTAAGACACGGAACTGGCACGGGCGACGGGGGTCATGAAGGAAAGGAAATCCGAGGCCCTCCGCGTCACCCGCAATCTGCCGCCGGCCCTGGGGCCCAGTGGGGTCCAGCAGGGCCCCAGCGGCCCCTCTCCCACAGGCCCTCTGAGCCTCATGCTGAAGACGGAAGTTGCCACTCATAGCCATCTCCCCTCGGCTAGTGCTGACCAGGCCTCGGTTGTCAGCCCTTCACCTGCTCCTGTAACACGCATCCCCCCACCTACCATCGTCGGCACCGCCGACGATCCTCCTCCTCCTCCTCCTCCTCCTCCTCCTCCTCCTCCTCCCCCCCCCCCCCCCCCCCCCCACCCCCCCCCCTCCTCCTCCTCCTCCTCCCCTCCTCCTCCTCCTCCTCCTCCTCCTCCTCCTCCTCCGCCTCCTCCTCCTCCTCCTCCTCCTCCTCCTCCTCCTCCTCCTCCTCCTCCTCCTCCTCCTCATCCTGCTGCTGTGCTCCGATCCCGGAAACCCGCTGGCCCCGCAGTGCGCGTGCAGGTCGACGACTGAATTCACCCCGCGCCGCCACCGCCAGCAACTAACTTATTGCACACCCTGCGCCACAGGAAACAACTGATGCGCAGAACTGGGTGCGAAGCACACCCTGGGAAGAGAGGTGGTGGTGGCTGGCTGGCCTCAAAGGGGCGTCAGAAAACTCAAGAACCTCATCCTTCACGTAGCCTCGTTTCTACAAGGAAGGCGTCGTGACCGCATCTGTATCCGAACATCTGGCCGATTATGCCGAAACCGGCGCCCGGCATTTTCCGATCGCGCCCGAGTGTGACCGAAATGTTTGGTTCAAAATCAGGAGGTTTCTCAAGGTCGGTCAACTTCGGTCACACTGCGCTTTCGGCCACAACTTCGGGGGCGTTTTCAGTCACCGATGCTTGTTTCTGCCACCTACCTTTTCGGCCGATAGGGCCCGGGTGCCATGACATCCTCTCGGGGGGCTGCGACTCGTCTCGAGTCGGGCATGTCCCTCCACAGGAGGAGCCTTCGAAACTAGGACAAACAAACAGTTTGGGGACGCTTTTTTCGAGTATGTTTGAACATGTATGGAGTCTGCTTTAACCATTCTCTATGTTTCGTCCAAAGTCCCCCTGCAGGGGGACAGGCCCGACCTAAGATTATGTCGGGCATGTCCCCCTACCAGGGGGATTTTCGACGAAACATAAAAAAAAACACAAAGACTCCAAAAAGTTCAGAATAAACGAATCATAGTCTCCAGACTATGTTAGGACCATGTTTGAAGTATTTTTGATGTTTCGTCCAAAATCCCCCCGTGGGGGGGGGACAGGCCCGACCTGAAGACTCGTCGTCTGAGCCATCCCGAGCACTGCGCTCCCCGGCGGCCGGGCCCCCCGGCGGCCCGGGGGGAGCCCCCTCGCCGCCACCCGCCCCACGCCCTCCGAGTCTAAGGTGAAGTCGGGCCTGTCCCCCTACCGGGGGATTTTCGACGAGAAATAACAAAAAGACTCCAAACATAATCAAAAAATGATGCAAAAATAGTCTGGGGACTATTTTTGGGGTATGTTTTGACAACGTGGGGCATTTTTTGTGCATTTTTCTATTCTCGTCGAAAATCCCCCTGTAGGGGGACACGCCCGACATAAGCCGAAGGGGCCAACGACAGGAGATGCGGACTTGGTGGGCTTGCTCTCCACCGCCACGACCAGATCACCACCGTATGCAAGTGGGGGAAGGGGCCCTCCTCCTCCTCCTCTCCTCTTCCTGCTCCTCCTCCTCCTCCTCTCCTCTTCTTCTCCTCTTCTCCTCTTCCTCCCCCTCCTCCTCCTCCTCTCCTCCTCTTTTCCTCCTCATCCTGATCCTCCACCTCCTTCCCCCCTCCATCTTGCAGCGGTGACAGACAGAGAAGCCGCGCCCAGACGGCTCATTGGCAAGAGAACTGCGGCAGGTGATGGCGTAGCTAGGCACATGCAGAAATAGCTAAAATGATGGACTGCGCTGCAGGCGGCTCGGTTGCACACCATTGGCAAACTTTGTACCGAATGGGAGGCGATGCGTTGACCTGCGGGCAATCCGCGGCGAGGAGGGGAGGAGGGAGGGAGGGAGGGAGGGAGGGAGGAGGGAGGGAGGAAGGAGAGGAGGAAACAGCCAGCACATCTCTACTTGCACCATCTTGTGACTCAGAGCTCCTGGAGCCTGTCGGGGCTCCCCCCATGCGGCGGTGGTGGTGATGGGAAACGGGCCCATCCAAGACTAGCCCCGGGGAGGGGACCGCTGACCCGGCATCCGCGATGCGGCGCCGCCATCGATCGGCGAACGGGCCCCCCGACAGCGAACCCACGCGGGCCCCGGGCGAGGCCGGCCCCCGCGCCCACCCTCGGCTACCTCCGGGCGACCCGGAGCCCCCGCGTGCCCCCCCCACCCCGAGCCGGTGCCCGCCCCCTGTGGCTTTCAAGCACATTCGATCGGGGCTTGCAGGCGAACCCTGCACCTACTCCCCATTTCCTCCTCCTCCTCCTCCCCCTCCCCCTCCTCCTCCTCCTCCTCCTCCTCCTCCTCCTCCTCCTCCTCCTCCTCCTCCTCCTCCTCCCCCTCCTCCTCCTCCTCCTCCTCCTCCTCCTCCTCCTCCTCCTCTCTCCTCCTCCTCCTCCTCCTCCTCCTCCTCCTCCTCCTCCTCCTCCTCCTCCTCCTCCCCCCTCCTCCTGCTCCCCTCCTCTCCCCTCCTCCTCCGCCTCTTCCTCCTCCACCTCCTCCTCCCCTCCCTCCCCTTCGCCTCTTTCTCCTCCTCCTCCTCCTCCTCCTCCTCCTCCTCCTCCTCCTCCTCCTCCTCCTCCTCCTCCTCGCTCGGGAGCTCCCGAGCGAAGTGAACCCCACCCTCCCCCTCAGAAATCGTGGGGGGTGTAGGGCCAGTGTTCGCATGCAGGCCCCCTGGCACTGGCTCGGGCATCCGGCGGCCGCTCGGGACGACCCCGCGCACCCCTGGAGCGCCCTCGGCGAGGCGCAGCGGCTGGAACACACCCAGGGGATGGACAACCGCGGAGATACGACGAGCACGACCAGAAACATCGGACCTCTCCAATACAGTCGGGGCGTTGACCCAAGGAACCCTAAGTAAGGAACGAGGCCCCTTTTTTCCATGAGTTAAACTTCGATTTCCTATCGAAAACATAAGGAAAGCCTGAGGCAAGCTGTGAAACACTTGAGAAACGCGGAGCCCCTCCCCAACCAAAAGGGTTCCTTCTTCAGGGCCCCGACTGTATCCGCCTACCTGCGGCACGAGTCGGAGTGTCCTCAAGTCCTTAGCCTAACGCCTAACCCCTGAAGCCCCAGTCTTCAATCTTGAGGATTCCTAGAAAAAGGGTCCGGACCCCTAGCTCTCAAGGATTCCTAGAAAAAAGGCTTGCCGCATGCCTTCTGGGCTCACCCGAGTGCTTTCCGCGCCCAGGAAACCACAAGACAGGCCAAGAGGGACCAAAGAGGCCGCCAAGACGGTCCAAGGGTGCCCCGAATCGCCGCACGATCGGTCCAAGACGCCCGAGCTAGCCACAAAACGGCTCAAGTACCCTTCGAAACGCGCCAAGAGCCTTCCGAAGAAAGGCCCGAATTGGCCAGATCATTCATGTTTTCCCAACAATCCTGTTGTGATGGGTCCTCGTTTTGAAGAGACAGCGCCCCCCGTCACTCACTCGTTCGTTCCGTCCTTCCTTCCTCATCCCCCTCCTCCTTCTTCCCCTATCATCATCAGCATCAGCATCAGCATCATCATCATCATCACCATCGACATCGACATCAGTATCACCATCATGATCACCATCGTCATCGTCATCGTCATCGTCATCGTCATCGTCATCGTCATCATCATCATCATCATCATCATCATCACCATCATCATCATCATCATCATCATCATCATCAGCATCATCATCATCATCATCATCATGGTCGTAATCATCACCGTCATCGTCATCACCATCGTCGTCATCATCACCATCATCGCCATCCGCTGCGGCACACCCCTCACACGTTTCGTGCCCCCACAGGGAGCTCCACCGAAGGCCCCAATGGTTACGTTCGCATGCCGCCCCACCTCCACTTCACACGCTTCGTGCCCCCATAGACAGCTCCACCGACGGCCCGAGCGGCTGCGTTCGCATGTGCTGGACACCCATCATACGCTTGTAGCCCAATAGACAGCTCAACCAAAGGCCCCAAAGGCTGCGTTCGCATTCGTCCGCCGCACCCATTTTTGGCACACCCCTCACACGCTTCGGGGCCCCATAGGGAGCTCCACCGAAGGCTCCAGTGGCTGCGTTCGTATGCGCCCACCGCACCGATTTCGGCAGACCCCTCACACGCTTCGTGGCACCATAGGCAGCTCCACCGAAGGCTCCAACGGTTGCGCTCGCATGCGCCCGCCGCACCCATTTTGGCACACCCCTCACACGCTTCGTGGGCCCACTAGGAGCGTCAACGACGGCCCAACTGGCTGCCTTTGCATGTGCCCACCGCACCGTTTTCGGCACACACCCCTCACACGCTTCGCGGCCCCATAGGGAGCTCCACCCAAAGCCCCAACGTCTGCGTTCACATGCGCCCACCGCACCTATTTCGGCACACGCCTCACGCTCCGTGGCCCCATAGGGAGGTCCACCGACGGACCGAGTGGCTGGGTTCGCATGCGCCCACCGAGTCAAGTTTTGGCATGCACCGCATACGCTTCGTTGCCCATAGGGAGGTCCACCGACGTCCCCAGTGGCTGCGTTCGCATGCGCCCACCGCGCCCATGTTGGCACAGCCTGCACACGCATCGATGCCCCAGAAAATGGGCCCGCCGAAAGCGCCAGTGGCTGCGGTCGCATGCGCTCAACGCACCTATTATGGCACACCGCTCACACTTGTCGTGGCTCATAGGGACGTCCACCTACGGCCCCAGTGGCTGCGTTTGCGCGCGCCCACCGTACCCATGTTGGCACACCCCTCACACGTTCCGCGTCCCCATATGGAGCTCCACCGAAGGCTCCAACGGCTGCGCTCGCATGCGTCCGCCGCACCCATTTTGGCACACCTCTCCCACGTTCCGTGGCCCTATAGGGAGCTCCTCCGAATGCAATGCATACAACGGCGGTGCTCGCAACAACATTCGATTGGGTCCTTCACCACGCTACTTGTTCCCAGCCATCCTGTGGTGCTGGGTCCTCGTTTGGAAGACACGGTGTCCTGCATCTTCTTCCTCATCCTCCTCAAGCTCCTCGTCCTCGTCCTCGTCATCGTCGTCCTCCTCCTCCTCCTCCTCCTCCTCCTCCTCCTACTCCTCCCCCTCCTCCACCACAACTCTCCTCCTCATGCCCCTCCTCCCTCCACCCGTCACCCCCTCACGTTGGCACACCCCTCGCACGCCGTGTGGCCCCATAGGGAGCTCCAACGAAGGCCCCAATGGCTGCGTTCACATGCCGTCTCCTGTCCACATTGGCACGCCCCTCACAGGTTTCGTGGCCCCATAGGGAGTTCCACCCAAGACTCCAGGGGCTGCGCTCACATGTCGCCTCCTGTCCACTTTGGCCCACCCTTCACACGTTTCGTGGCCCGGGAGCTTCACCGAAGGCCCCAGTGGGTGCGTTCATGCCGCCTCCTGTCCACCTTGAAACGCCCCTCACGCGTTTCGTGGCCCCGCAGGTCGCTCCACCGGATGCCGCAATGGCTGCGTTTGCATGCCGCCCCGCCTCCACTTTGGGACACCCTCAGACGTTTCGTGACCCCATAGGGGGCCCCACCGAAGGCCCCCGTGGCATGGTTCGCATGCGTTTCCCGTACCCATTACAGCGCTTCGTGGCCACATAGGGAGCTCCTCCGACGACACCAGGGGCGGTGTCCTCATGCGTTTCCCCCACCCAGTACAACGCTTCATGGCCCCATAGGGAGCTCCACCGAAGGTCCCAGTGGCAGTGTCCGCACGCGTTTCCCCCACCCAGTGCAACGCTTCATGGCCCCATAGGCAGCTCCACCGACGGCCCCAGTGGCCGTGTCCGCATGCGTTCCCCCAACCACCACAGCGCTGAGTGGCCCCATGGGGAGCTCCACCGATTGCTCAATTGGCGGCCTTCGCATGCGTCCCCTCCGCCAAATACATCGTGTCTTGGCCCCATAAGGAGCCCCACCGACGGCCCCAACGGCTGTGATCGCATGCGCCTCCCCCGCCCAATGCAACGCTTCGTGGCCCCGTAGGGGGCTCCTGTGGCGGTGTTCGCATGCGTTACCCCACTCAGCACAGCGCTTCGTGGCCCCGTAGGGAGCTCCATCGAAGGCCCCAGTGGCGACGTTCGCATGGCGGCCCTGCTACATTTCGGCACACCCCTCACACGTTTCGTGGCCCCATATGGAACGCAACCGAAGGCCCAATGGCTGCGCCCGCATGCGTCCCCGTCCCATTTCGGCACACCCTGTACACGCGTCGTGGCCCCACAAAAAGACCCACCGAAGGCGATACCCACAACGGCGATACTCACAACTGCATATGGTTCGCCCCTTTGCTAGGACCACTGTATCTTGTGGTTTCTCCATATCCTGAGATGGGGTTCCTGTTGTTGTTCAGGCGCATCTGGCCTCCTTTCACCTCACATCTTCCTCCCCTTCTTCCTCAGTCTCGCTCGCTCATGCGCAGACTCACTCATACTCTGACTCACTCGTGTTCAGACTCTGTCGGCGCTGGGTTCAGGCGTACGAAAGGGTTTGAATACGAGTGAGTCGGACACTGTACGTCGCATGATCTGGTGGATCGCCGAGGAGGGGGAGGGAGGAGGGGGAGCAGGGGGAGGGGGGAGGGGAAGGAAGAGGGGGAGGAGGAGGAGGGGGAGGGGGAGGAGGAGGAGGAGGAGGAGGAGGAGGAGGAGGAGGAGGAGGAGGAGGAGGAGGAGGATGAGGAGGAGGAGGAGGAGGAGCAAGAGGAGGAGGAGGGGGAGGGGGAGGGGGAGGAGGATGAGGAGGAGGAGGAGGAGGAAGACGCTCGCCCGTGCGCGCCCAAATGGTGGGTATGTCTCGGGCGGCGTACCTGTCTGGGTGCCCAGCAGCCCCAGCTTCCGGAGCAGAGTGCGAGGCGAGGACGTCTCGAGCGGGGCAGTTTACCAGCCTCGAACGTATCCCTATCCCTAAGATTGACACGCGAAAAGGCGACGACAATCTTAGGGACTCGCCCTCAAAAAATAAGGGAAGCCCTAAGATTGGCATCGTGATGAGGAGGTGCCCAGCATAGTGGCACCTCCTCATCACGATGCCATTCTTAGGGCTACCAGTGCAGAAGCCGGTGGCTCCGGCGCACTCCCTAAAAGGGGGGGAGCCGTCAGGGGGGGCAAGACACCCGCCCGCTCGCGCTCCGCTCGCGGCGAGGTCTCGAGCCGTTTGCCTGTCGGGGTGCCCGTTCGCGTCCACGTGGTGGGGGTGTCTCATAGAGGGAAAACAAACCTACCTTGCTTTTGACCACCCTCGCTTCCAAGGGATACCAAGCGATGCCAAACTACGGCCTGTACTGGTCAGGCCGCTTGACGAGGAGGCGCGTGGTATGACTTGGTTTTGCCTGGAAGCGAAAGCGGTGCTAGGTAATTCACGCTCTGATCTCAGGCGGTTTGCCCGCTTGGGTGCCCACGATCATCTGCTTCAGAGCAGGCTGTGAGGCGAGGCGCTGGATCCAGCACCCCCACGGTGACCGCCGGGGGGTAGGACATTCTGCCGTTTGCGCACGGGTTGAAGAAGATGCCTCAGGCGGTTTGTCCAGTTGCCCAACACCATATGCTTTTTGGGTGACCCAAACGGAGGTCCAGCTGAAAGAGGGTGGTGCAATAGATTTGGGGTAATTGGATTGCAAACGTGTTGCGCCAGAGAACTGTAGTGCAATGTATTGCAAACAACACATTGCACGCGAAAATCCAGACATACATTTGCGCCCCGGAATGCTTTGAACGCCCCAAGAGTATTGCAACGCCAGTGACCTATTGCACCAAATCTATTGCACCATCCCCTGGTCGCTGGACCCCCTTTTGGGTCAGCCCTCTGCTTGCAGAGCAGATCCAGAGGAGGTCTCCGGCGAGGCGCGGCTTGCAGCGCACCCCCGGAGGGGGGGCCGGCCATGGAGCAGGGCGCTCGCCCGTTCGCGTCTGGATTTGGGGGACTTCGGGCGGCTGGTCTGCCGAAGTTTTTCCAGCAGCCTCTGCTCCCAGAGCAGACTGTAGAGATGGGCCTGCTTTCCACCACCACCAGCAGAAGCTGGAGGGGGAGGGGGCCCTCCTCCCCTCCTTCTTAGTCCATCTCCTCCTCATCCTCCACCTCCTTCCTCCCTCCAGCTTATGGTGTTGGTGGTGGTGGTGGTGGTGGAAAACAGGCCCATCATGTAAAGGTGAACGTTTTCTTATTCGGCGTTTCGACGTTTGGCGCTAAGGGTCTGGCTCCGGACCCCTCCTCAGTGCGACTGTTTGCATCAGGGCGTGCTGTGGGGGCGACTCCACCTGCTCGAAACAGGCGCCTCAAACAGCCAAGATCCACTCCATTGGGGGGGGGAAAGGGGGGTGGTACGAGGGCCCGCGCCGATCGGCAAAACAATGAATAAGAAAACGATCGCAAGAGACGCGTTGGTTTCCATGGGGAAGGACGCTCGGCCGTTCGCGCTCAGACGACGACGACGACGGACGACGGACGACGGACAACGACAACGACGGACGACGGACGACGGACGACGGACGACAGACGACGAACAACGACGACGACGACGACGGACGACGGAGGACGGACGACGGACGACGACGGACGACGACGACGGACGACGACGACGACGGACGACGACGACGACTTGATTGCGCCTGGATCGGTGGCGGCGGCGGGCCACCTGTCCTGGGGCTTCGCCTGCGGCTTCTGCAGCGCGCCAGGCAGGCAACCGCCCTGGGCGGCGCGCCGGAGCACGGGGGCTGCGCGGGCACGCGCGCAGACGGTGGCGATCGAGAGAAGGGCTCCCAGCGAGGCCCGGCAGTCGAGGAGGGTTCCTAAAGTCGGGGGCGGCCAAGAGGGGGGTGTCCAAGGGGGGGGGGGGCAGATCATGGCCAGCGGCATGCGCGCGGCCCAGGGGGGGGGGCCAGGGAACGTGATGAAATGAGAAGAGGCGCCATGAAATCTGGGGAGATTTCATGGCCTCCGCCATGATATCCACCCCCCTAGACATCACCCCCCTCTTGGAAAGGGGCCAGAAACAGCTCAGGGATCCCAGTCCCGGAAATACGTATTCCCAGGACGCTGAATGGGGGGGGATGGGGGGGGGAGGGGGACCCCGTCCTTCCTGTCTGGGCGACGAAGAGCAAGGCGTCGTCCGCGAGATGGCATAGCCCTTTACGCGGCGGCTTGCGCGGGCCGCCAGCGCGGCACCACACACTGGAAACAAGGGCGCTGGCGCGGCAACTTACGCGCCCATGTTTGTGAAGACGACTCCGCGTTTCTGCGTCGCTCATTTGCCCCTCGTGCGCGCCGCCGACGGCAGCCATCGTGCTACCATAAGGAACTGTGAATGAGGAACGAAAGGGCCCTTCCGGCCACTGTGAGCCTCGGCCACTGATAGGTTCCACGACCTGCATCGAAGGAACGGTCCGAGAACCAGAATCCCTGCTGAGCCCAACATCGCCCTTCTTTCAGCATCTTGACTGCATGCCTGTGGGCGCCGCCGACCACAGAAGAGCTGCCGAAGTAAGGAACGTCTGGCAAGAGAAGAAGAAACGCCATGAACAGAAGCTTTTGGCGCTTCGCGCGGATGTCTTGGATCTGCGCCAGGCCCCCTTTCTCGGAAGCCGGGCAAAGGCTGCTAAATCCGTGGCTGCTAAAATCGACCTCCGGGAAACTGTCTTCGTTCTTCCGGGAAGTAACCCGCTGACTGTTTCGCGTGCCGTTCCTCATTCCGGGAAGTTGTTTCTTCCTTCCGGGAGGGCCGTTTTTGAAGGGGAACTGGGACACACAAATAAATACACACATCAACATATCCCCCATATTTTCCTATATTTTCTGGGTTTTTGTCTTCCCCCCCACTTCCCATATTTTCCCATATTTTCTGGGAATCGCCGATTAATTGTGTCTGTGTGTTTCTTTCCCTCCTGAGTTTTAGCAGCCACGGTTTCAGCAGCCCTCGCCCAGCTTCCGACTCGCCCTGCAGAGCGCGCCGGGGGCGGCACCGGAGGCGCCGCCAGGGGGGGGCCATCGCCGACCCGAGAAATCCGCGCGGAGCACCAGCAGTCAATGTTTACGGCGCTTTCTCTTCAAGCGGCGGAGCCTCTTGCTGCCGCCATCAGCGCCCGGGCGCAAGAGGGAGGAACAGCTCTGACAACTTTCTTGGCTCTGTCCCTGTCCCAACGAGGGCTGTACTTCACCTGGGGCCAGGGTCGCGCCGGGCGCGCCCGCCCCTGCTCCCCACGGCCGGACTCAACAGCACCACAACAGCATGTTGGCCATTCGGCTGCACGTAACCAGAGACGTGCTCACCAAAAAAATGGCAGCCCTCCCGTCGGGCTGTTCCGACGAGCCACGGTCAGGGGGACGTAAGACCTGGGTACAGGGGACTCGGGAATCCCCGACGAGGTCGTCAAAAAAATGACGAGGCCGAGCCTGCATTTTGACGAGGCCTCCCGCTGCAGACATCCCAGGAAACTCCTCCTCGTCAAAATCCGAGGCGCGGTCGTCAAAAAACGATGGCGAACCCGAGTCCTGGCAAACCCGGGTCTTACGCTCCCCCGAGAGGACCTCATGAGCAGCGAGCCCCGTCCGAACCCACGTCCGGTCCTCTCAGCTCCGCGTCTTGGCTGCTGCCGGCGGCGCGTGCACCTGCCTCTGTGCTTGCCGCCGACCCTGCCCGTGAGGGCCCTGTGTGAGGTCGGGCAGGCCCCCCGACGGGCGGATGCTCGGCGAAAGCTTAAAACAAAAACACGCACACAGTGTTCGGGCATGAGCAGAAGCAGTCAGCAGAGCGTCCCCATACGACTTTTTTACAGTCCTGGGCTGCTCCTCCCGTCGAGGGACGTGCCGCGCTCGAGCCCTGTGGGCACCGAGGGCGCAGACCCCCCTTGGAAGAGGGGGCTGCTCGAGGGCGGCCGGCCTCTCTTCAGACGGCGGAGGCGCCTCGGAGGCGGCGGCGGCACTGCAGCGGGGGCCCGGCCACGAGAGACCTTCCACGAGGACCCAACCCCTGAGACCCCAGGGCGTCCATCAATCTTCGGCGTGGGAAGGTCACACTTCCCATGGCCAAAACCACCGAGGCCACAAAAAAACCCAGGGCACCCTGAGGGCAACCGGGGTGGGTCTTGGCATGGGCCCCCACTGCACACCGTTCTCCCACCGCGACCGAGCCCAGCGGCAAGGTCTAGAAACGCCGGTCTACACCATTTGCGGGGAGGCGTGAGACTCGGGTACGAAGGACTCGGGTTGGCCTGACTGAGTATCGTTTAACCGATCCCCATCCCCAGCGGCGTGGCCAGGGCCCCACTGGCCGATTTAACCCCCTAGATGGGGATATAGGTCGTTCTCTTCGGGATTCGAAGAGTGTATCCCCAACGGGGGTGGCAATTTGGTGGGGGTCTCGAAAGGGATGGAGATGGGGATGGGGATCGCTTAAACGATACCGACTGACGGGGCCATCATAAACATGACGAGACCCAAACTCACACCTGACGCGCGAGCTCCCGCTGCAGACGCCCCGCGAAAAATGGGCCGTCAGAAACCAGAACGCGCTCGCCAAAAAACCGTAAGCAAGCTCGAGTCCCGGCTTACGGTCGGACTTCATTGGACGGGACACGCGAGAGAGGACAAAAGATCCTTCCGAGGGCCATCTCGCCATGGGAAGTGTAAGAAGGCATGGATCGCGAGGCACGGGACACGAGGGTACCTTTGAGCTGGCAGGGTCGACCTACTAATCCGGGCCGACTGTAAGCAAACTCGAGTTCCGGCTTGCTCGAGTCATGCGGTTCCCCGACATGTTCCCACCGCGACGGGGCCCAGCGGCAAGGTTCAGAGACGCCGCGCAAGCCGAAGGCCACCGGGGGCGGACGGGGGAGCGGCTAGCACGGCAGCCGCGCCGCCTCCCCCTAGAGCAGCTCTGGAGCGAGCCTCCCGGCTCAGCCCCGGGCGACGCAGGTAGGGAATCGAGCTCTATACAACGATGCTTTTTTCCGACCCTGCGCTGAAATTCGCACAGGAACGCGGATCCTGGTGTATACGGGATCCTGGTGTATGCATTTTTCGTTGTTTCCCTTGCCAAACGGGGGAGAAGTATACACCACACCACCCCGGCGTCGTCCCCGACCCTTAAAAAAGTCTTGGGATTGAAACAAAACCGCCACTGGTAATGTATGTGTTCCAGTTTCCGAGTCGGATCATCAAGAGTCTAGCCCGCCGAGTCCTTCCTGAACCAGGATGCTGGATCGGGGGATCGCCAGTCGAGTCCTTTCCCGCTGCACAGGCACAGGTCGGAGAGCGGAGACATCGGGAGGCCCCCCCCTGGGAGGTCTTCGTAAGAATGATGAGCCACTGGGCCCGGTCACAAATTATGGAGTCGTATCAGCCCAAGACTTGCAAGAGTTTGACGGATTGTGGGCGAGTCGCTTTCAGAATGTGGCTCTCGCCCTAGCGCCGTGCACATTCGTTTCAAACAAGTGCAAGAGCTTCACACATTGAGGTCGGGCCGTTTTCGAAATGTGGTGATCGCCTTAGCGCCGCGCACCTTCCTTTAAATTACACCTGCGAACACCCCAATCAGTGAATGTGAGATCGATAATGGGATCGATAGTAGCAGAACATACCGCCGAATGAGACGGGCTGGCTCGTAGGCAGGACTATGCTGGATCAGGGCGGCTTTCGACCACGAATCTGGGCTGGCTGGCTGGTTGGGTTGGTTGGGTTGGCACGTTGAGCTGGCTGGGGCAATTGGCTCCGAGACGTATACATATTTTTATATATATATATATATATAGAGAGAGAGACAGAGAGAAAGAGAAACAACAAACCAAACATATATCGATATATATATATATATACAAAGACATACATTGAGAAAGAGAGAGAGAGAGAGAAAGACATTGACACACATGCACGTGTATAGTTAGGTCGGGCATGTCCCCCAAGAAGCGGATGTTGGACGAGCACTTTCCAAACAGATTCAAAAACATGTAGACATCAAGAAAACGCGACACAACGTCCCCAGAGTACGCGTTACTGTGTTTGAATGCTCCCCCTCTAAAGGGACAGACCCGACTGAGGTGTATAGAGAGATCAACACGCAGAGAGACGCAAATTGCACCGCCTCCCGATGTCCAGAGAGGTCGGCTCCCCAGGCATTGGATAGGCACAGCTTCCAGCCGCGGCACCCCTGGTGGCTCGGGGACGCACCCTGCAACGCCCGAGGGGAGGCACTGGCACCAAGCCAACGGGCCCCGCGGAAAACGCGCCCTGGCCTTACGCTGTTCCCATCGTGCTTCAGGACCACATCCCCGAACAGTTTCGCGCACCCAAGAAAGCATCGAAACGGTGTCGAACGAGTAATTATCGGCTCCCGGGGCCCGACGCGTGGAAACCCTCACGATTCGGTACTCTCTCTTGGTGCACGAAATTCTTTTTTGGTGACCAAGGCTAGAGCAGGTTGGAACATCATAACCCTGGCCCCAGAACCTGGGCCCTCCGCCTTTTGAGACCCGAAACAATGCGGTGACAGACCGTGCAGCGACCTCAAAATCCCCCAAGACCTCACCGCACGGTCCGTCACCGCACGGCCTTGGGACCCCGGAGGCCCCTGTCGCCGGAGACATCCTCGGAGAACGACCCGAGTCCCAAAACCATGCGGTGAGCCGAATGCCCACCGACGGAGGAGGAGGAGGAGGAGGAGGAGGAGGAGGAGGAGGAAGAAGAGGAGGAGGAGGAGGTGGAGGAGGAGGAGGGGGGGGAGTGGGAGGGGAGGTGGGGAGAGGGGAGGAGGAGGAGGAGGAGGAGGAGGAAGAGGAGGAGGAGGAGGAAGAGGAGGAGGAGGAGGAGCAGGAGGAGGAGGAGGAAAACAGTGCAGTGCCTCAGGGCCCGATGCCCTCGATTAAGACGAAGCCATGGCGAGGACAACATCTGGCGAGGATAAAAATCGAAAAATCTGTGAAATCTGGCGGCTTTGGAAGATGTCTCGGGCGCCGCGGCCTTCTCGTAGCGCTCCGGAACGCTCTGAGGGCGTCTCGGAACGCTCTGGGACGGATTTATCGTCGTCCTAGCCTCGTCCGATCAGTCCACGTCACAGACCTCCGATGTTTTGACTTTTCTGCATGCGGCCTCCTCGGAGCTCTGGATCGCTTACCGGGAATCGGACTTGATGAGCCTGTTTTCCACCACCACCACCATAAGTTGGAGGAGGGGAGGAGGTGGAGGATGAGAAGGAGGAGGAAGAAGAAGTGCCGGCGCCCGGGGCCCGGGCGAGGGCCCGCAGACAACGAAAAAAGCACACGAAAGATCTCCCGACTTTTGTCAGCGCGTTTGGCGTCTGGGCCTGCCGGGGCCGGGCGAGGGAGGGGGGCCTCCGCGAGGGGGGGGGGCGCAGAACCATGGCCGGCGGCGTGTGCGCGGCCCTGGGGGGGGGGGCCAGGGCGTGTTGATAAAGGGGCCCCAGGACACACAAATAAATACACACAAATAAAATGATTCCCCATATTTTCCAATACGTTCTGGATTTTCGTCTTCCCCACCACTTCCATATTTCCCCATATTTTCTTGGGAATGGACGATTAATTGTGTCTGTGTGTTTTTCCCCCTCCTGAGTTAAAGGAAGAGGAGGCACCACGAAACCCGTGGAGCTGCCGTGGCCCTCGCCATGACATCCTCCCCCCTAGTCATCACCCCCCTCTTCTGAGGAACCCAACCTTATACACCGACATGTCTTGCCGGCCCCGCAATGAACTTCCCCCATGTAAAGAGATTCTCTGGTGTATACGGCATCCTGGTGTGCACATTTTTCGTTGCCTCCCCGGGAAAGAGGTAAAAGAGGCATACACCACACCACCCCGACGTCGTCACCGACCCTCCACTCCTCCCGGGAGCAAAAAAAACAGCCCGCCGCTGGTACTGTATATGCTCCAGTTTCCGGTCTCTGCCGCCCCCGAACGTTGGATGTCTGGTCGGGGAGACGTAAGACCCGGGTACGGGGGACTCGGAAATCCCCGACGAGGTCGTCAACAAAAATGACGAGGCCGAGCCTGCATTTTGACGAGGCCTCCCGCTGCAGACATCCCACGAAACTCCTCCTCGTCAAAATCCGATGCGCGGTCGTCAAAAAACGATGGCGAACCCGAGTCCTGGCAAACCCGGGTCTTACGCTCCCCCGAACGTTGGATGTCTGGGTCTGCTGCACGGCGAAGGCGCAGGCCACGGGGCCGGCCCGGCAGGGGGGGCCTGGCGGAAGTGCGAGGCGGAGGCCCCGCTGCTCGCCGAGGCCGCCGTGCTGCCCGCGAGGCTCCCGGCCTGCGAGTGCGTCGCCACCAGTCCTGCTCGCTTTTTTTTTAACTTTGGATGGAACCATCTTCAACCACCACTACCATCAGTAGGAGAGGGAGGAGGAGGAGGAGGAGGAGGAGGAGGAGGAGGAGGAGGAGGAGGAGGAGGAGGAGGAGGAGGAGGAGGACCTCCTCATCCTCCCGTCTCCCCCGTCCTACACGTGGTAGTGGTGGTGGAAAACTTGCCCATGAACGTTCTGCCTTCGCGACGTCGTCGCCGCTGTGGTTCCCCAGTCTCCGGCGGCATGTTTGCTTCAATCTGAGCGTGTCTCCGCAATTTCGGCCGCGGGGTCCTGTTTTCGGGCCCTGGCGCCACCAAGAGAGGATCCGGGGCGAAACGCTGGCCAGGGGAACGGTGAGGGGCACTCTGTGGGGCCACGCATCGAGAAAATCATGCCGGCGGATGTCAGGGTTTTCACAACTTATGGAGGGCAAGGCAACGATTAATATAACCAAGATGGTGAAGTTGGTCATCGTCCACCTTGGTCATCGAATCGGCGATGGCCAGCATGCACCATGACCAAGATCGGCGTCGACAAGACCCCGCGACATCTTGGTCATATTAATGGTCCCTCTTCCCTCGAATGTTGTTGCCGCCGCCGTGGTTCGTCGCTTTCGAGCTGGGCATCGCCGCCAGATCGAGGTTTGAGGCTTTTTCGGGTGTTCCTGGCTCCGTTTTTGGACCCGCGGATGCAATATCACCTCAACGACAAAAACAAACGGGCCTTACGCGAGACGACACAGCCACCTTATGCTGTGGGCTACGCGGGCAGCCAGCGCTGCATGCTAGGCGAGGGCGCTTACGCGCGACCTTACGGGAGCAGCTTACGCGCAAATGTCGGTGAAGACGAAGCCGTTATTTCTCCGTCGCCCACATGGTCCTCGTGCGCGCCGCCGACGACGACAGCCACGCTGAAAACCACTAGGGGCTGTAGATGAGGAGCGAAGGCACTCTTCTGGCCACCGCGAGACTCGGTCCCCTGCAGGCTCCCCGACCTGGACCTAAGGAACGGTCCGAAAACCAGAGACCCCCTCGGAGCCCAAAGCGGTCCTTCTCTCAGCGCTGGTGAGATCGCCCCCGTTTTCCGCCGTCGCCCGCCCGTCCTGCCGGCTTTTTGTTCCGCCGCGGACTCCGTCGCCGCCGCCCCCCGCCCCTGTCCGCGGTCTCCGCCCGCCGCCGCAGTCGCCGCCGTCGACGTCCGCAGCCTCCCCGAGCGCGCATTCAGCAGATCGACTGGTACAGGAAGGGCTCGACCACAAAAAAACCCAACCCTTAGACCCTAGGAAGTCCATCGATTGCCGGCGCGGGAGCGTCACGCCTTCCAGAGCAGAACCCTCGAACACGAAGAAAACAGTGCACGTGAGCGTTTCTTCATTCGGCGTTTCGACATTAGGCGGAAGAGGGGGGGGGAGGGGGGGGGGTCTGGCTCCAGACCTCTGCTTAATGCGACTGCTTGCAAAAGGGCGTCCATTATGGGGGAGACCCCACCTGCTCGAAACAGGCGCCAAAAACAGCCAAGATCTACTCCACGGGGGGAGGGGAGGGGGGGGGGCGCGAGGGCCCGCGCCGATCGGCAAAAGAATTGATATAAAAAACGCTCACCAGGGCACCCTGGACGCAAGCAGGGTGTTTCTTGGCATGTGCCTTCACTGCATCGGCAACGCTGCGAATGTGTGACGCAACGAAGGCTCTGCTGCAAAACGTTATCTGAGCAGGGGCCGACCGTCCCGGCAGTCCTAGAGGCCTACCACGGAGATTTCTCAGGACACAGCAAGTAAGAACAACCACATGTCCTAAAAACATCGTGCCGAGGTGTGAAAACAGGACGGGCCCAGCCAGCATTGTTCTGAGAACATCTCGTGCAGACCACACAAACAGGTTCTGATAATATGCTCTGGTGGGCCTGTTATGCGAGGCAGGACGCTTCGCCACTGCTCGACAAACGACTGCCGCAAAACGTTATCCTTCGGCGGGCGCGGCGGGCTGCCCCGGGCTGCCGCCCCCGCAGGCAAGACTGCAGCTGGGGGCACCTCGTGCAGACGAAGCGCCTGCACAAACGCACGGGCCTCAAGTCGGGCCTGTCCTCCTACAGGGGGAGTTTGGACGAAAGATATAGAGCAGTCGAAACATACCCCAACATGGTCAAAACATACCCCAAAAAATAGTACCCAGACTTTTCGGGGACTATTTTTGAATATTCCCCCTGTAGGGGGACAGGCCCGACTTACGACAGGCCGTCGGAGCTGCGAGCAGACACGACGCCCGTTGTACAGTGAGCGCCCATACAGTCGGGGCGTTGACCTACGGAACCCTACATACGGAACGAGGCCCCTCGTTTCCCAGAAGATAGCCTTCGATCTCCTATGGGAAACCTCAGCAACACCTGAGGCAAACTGTTGAACCATCCAGAAACACCGAGCCCCCCCCCAAACGAGAAGGGTTCCTTCTTCAGCGCCCCGACTGTACGCTGAAGATGAGGGGGGAACCAACCTTCGGCCGAAGGGGCCGAACCTTGCAGCCCGGAGCAGGCGGCCAGGAGCAGGCGGCTGTGGGGGCTCTCCGTGCCCTCCTGGGACGCACAGGGACCTACTAGGTACTATACGTCCGCCTTGGAGGCGCGCGGCCGACCCGAACATGCAACATACCCATCTCGTAGTACTTCGTCTCCCGGGCGGTGTGGCCAGGAAGCGCCCACCACGACGCATATACTACAAGGCTTCTCGGTGCGCGCGTCGCCCCTGGGGGGCGACGCACATACAGCATAAGTATGTTGGGGTGACCAGGGGGAAAACAAACCTGCCTCGCTTTTGACCACCCTCGCTTCCAAGAGATACCAAACGATGCCAAATTGCAGCCTGTACTGGTCAGGCCGCTTGACGAGGAGGCGCGTGGTATGGCTTGGTTTTGCCTGGAAGCGAAAGCGGGGTAGGTAATTCACGCTCTGAGTGACGCCGACCTCCCCTCGCCCTCGTCTGCCGTCGGCTCGTCTGTCGGTGGGGTCGTCCCTCTGACCGGCCCCGGCCCTCCGCCGCCGGGCCTCCTCTCCGCTGGCACGGACGGCTACCGAAGTGGCAGCGGCGTCCTCCCTCGTCGTCCGACAGGTCCACCGCGGGCGCCAACTCCAGAGCTGCGTCGGCGGCTCCGACCGCTCCCGCGTCGGGGAGGTGTGGTCAGGTGACGGCTGGGCTCCTCCTCCGCCTCCTCCTCCTCTTCCCTCTTCTTCCATCCTCCTCCATCCTCCTTCCTCCTTCCTCCTTCCTCCTCCTCCTCCTCCTCCTCCTCCTCCTCCTCCTCCTCCGTCTCTTACGTCTCCTCCTGCTCCTCGTCCTCCTCCTTCTCCTCCTCCTCCTCCTTCCAGTGGCGGGCCACCAAGCAAAAGCAGGGGCAGAGACGGTCTCGGGGAAGTGGCAGCCAGTACCAGCTCCTGGGGCCTGGGGCTCGATGGCACCTGAGTCTATCGACGCTGCCACGTCCCCGCTGCTGCTCGTCCTCCTCCTCCTCCTCCTCCTCCTCCTCCTCCTCCTCCTCCTCCTCCTCCTCCTCCTCCCTCTCACTATCTCTTTCTCTCTCTCTCTCTCTCTCTATAGATGCGGGTACACATACATGAAAAGAAGTTCATACACGCAGCAGACACGCGTGCACCATCTGACACGAGCGTGTGCGCACACGGCCAAGCCTGGGCCACCAGGGCCCCAGGGGAGGGACCGACCAACCCCTTCGGGCCTCCACTGCGCCCAGACGCACGAGGGACGCCCGGGGAAGGCCAGTGTTAAGGCCCCTCGGGACACCGAACCCCTGCCGAAGCCAAAGGGAACCCTGCCACAGGGATTTGCCGGCACGTGCGGTCCAAGGCAGGGTGTAGGGGGCCACATGCGAACCCTACCCCTGCCCCCCACGAGTTCGAAGGGGGAGGGTGGGGTCCACTTCGGTTCGGGAGCTCCCGAGCGAAGTGAACCCCACCCTCCCCCTCAGAAATCGTGGCGGGTAGGAATAGGGTTCGCATGTGGCCCCCCAGGGCGGCGCTCCACGTGCAGCACGGAGGAGGGCACCAGGACGTTGAGCGAGCGGAAGCAGGGCAGGGTCACGCCCCTCGATTGCCCCTCGTCTGGGATGACCGCCAGCCCGGCACGGACTCGACTCCACCACACCCACACCACCAGCCACCTGGCTCGAGCCCCTGGTCGTCGGGGCGATCAAACACAGATCTTGGAATAACTAATGCCCAGGGACTAAGGGCGAGACATCTGCATGGGCCCGACGGACTGAAAGATCGTGCAGCTGCAAAGCTATGTTTCCCAAAAACTTGACGAAGCCAAAGCGACCAACGAAAACTTGCCCTAAAATTCTCGACACTAGACACTAGACCTCCTCCAACTGACAGTTGCTTGTTCGATCCATGGGCTCCAAAGCCTTCGACCCCCTTGCCAAGATCCCATTTCTTCATCTGCTCAAGGCCCGAGAGCCCCCGAAAACCTACCGAAAACCTACCCCCCGAGCACAAGGTTCACGGGACCCTGATGGGCTGGCCGGAGCCCCCTCTGCGATAGCGTACTCGGCCATGCCCCTCGCCCTCCCACTCGGGTGTTGCCAGAAGTACCCCTGGCCCAAGGTGCCCCCAGCTTTTCGCTCCATGTTGCACCCCCTGGGGCCCTCTGGGCCTCGTGAGGGGTGCTTTGGAGGCCGTTTGGGCTACCCCGGGAATCCTGGGGGCACCTTGGCCCAGGAGCACTTCTAGCAATCAACACTCGACCCACCGCGGAGCTCGGCTCTCGACTGCTGGGTGCCCCACCCACCCCTTCTCTTGCTTCTCGGCCTCCCAGGCGGGGTCGGACCAGATGGGCGAGGCAGGAGAGAGAGGGGGGCCAGGATTAGGTCGGCCAGATCCTCCTACAGGCGGATTTTTGACGAAGAACAAGAAATAAACAAACAAGTGTCAACCATATTCGAAAATGCTCCAAAAGTCGTCCCCAGACTACGTGTTTTGAATATATGTTTGAAAATTCCTGCTGCACAGGGACAGGCCAGACTTCAGGCCATGAAGAGGGGGCAGTGTGCACCGTGGCCCGGGGCGCGTGCGCGGGCGAGGGAAGGCCTGGGAACGCCGTCGGGGCAAGAGGTTATAGAGGAGGGGCCCACGAGAAATGGGAGATCTGGTGTCCCCAGCCATGACATCCACAAAGGCTGAGGAAGCGAGGAGGCATGAGGATAATGAGAGGGAGGGCGGACAGAAGGAAGAGGCGGAGAAGCAGGAGTAGGAGGAGGAGGAGGAAAAAAGGAGGAAGGAGGAAGAAGGAGGAAGAGTGAGGAGGAGGAGGAGGAGGAGAAAAAGGAGGAGAAGGAGAAGGAGGAGGAGGAGGAGGAGGAAGATGCGGGGAAGAGCCACTTGACGGACTAACCTGATACCCCTGAGACGCCGTAATGAACGAGCGGAACTCTGCGGGGGTCAACGCCTGGTCAGGGAACGGGAAAAAAGCCGGAGAGACGGGAGGCCCCCCCCACGAAACAGCTGCTGGGAGGGCCATTATCCTCCGCGTCCTGCTTATCCTGCTCCTCCCCGACCTCCTCCTCCCCCAGCTCTAGCTTCTCCTTCTCCTCCTCCTCCTACTCCTCCTCCTCCTCCTCCTCCTCCTACTCTCCTCCTCCTGCTCCTCCTCCTTCTCTCGCTCCTCCTCCTCTCCTCTCCTCCCCTCCGCACCTCCTCCTCCTCCTCCTCCTCCTCCTCCTCCTTCTCCTCCTCCTCCATTTCCTCCCCCTCCTCCTTCTCCTCCCCGTTCTCCTCCACCTTCTGCTCCTCCTCCTCCTCCTCCTCCTCCTCCTCCTTATCGTCCTCCAGCTCCTTCACCACCTCCATCAGATTTCCGTCTTTCCTGACGGCATCGGTGTTCTCCGAACGGAACGCACCTCCACCTCCACCTCCCCCTCTACCCCAGACCTCCCAGGTCTCGAAACCACTGTTCTCCACCGCTCGGCCTCCAAGGTCCATCTTCGGCGTCGAAGACAATCCAAAACGACTCGGCAGGGGGAAGAGGTCGACAACTCAGGGGATCGGTGGTGTGGGCGCTCCTACTGCTCGCCCACCGCCCTGGAGCCTCGGCCGTCGCCGCGGCGGAAGGAAGCGCGAGCATCTCTGATCCCCGTGCTGCGGGCCAGCCCGGCCCATGGAGGTAGTCTTGCTCGGGATCGCCTGGTCGGGGAGAGGGGGCGAAGGGGAGGGAAGGTGGCACCAGGTTGGCAGTAGGCAGCAGGGGGTGGTGGGTGGGTGCTACGCGTGTGTTGGCTTCAAATATTTCTGTCGCTGTCCACGCGCAGTGCTGGCAGGCAGTCCCTGCCTGGCGGAGCAGACACGACACACAGAGCAGCCAGGGTGAAAACGCATCAGCAGACAGCAGGAGGGGAAAATGGCAGCCGGGTGCAAGCGGAATCCCGACTCGGGTGGGCGGTTGCCGCCGCTGTCCCCTCATCGAGGCCACTGGCTCGGGTGGCGTCGACACTGACAGCGGCCGACGCCTCCAGGGGAGGGCCCCAAAGGCGGAAAGCAACAAAAACCAACAAACCGTCATGTTTTTTCCCCGACGCGAGAATGTCTGGGGAGGAGGGAGGAGGCTCAGGACGCCGCGCGGTGGGGGACCGCGGAGCGAGGAGCTAGTGCGAAAACGGCGCTCATGCACCGCACCATGTTTCGACTCCCCTGAGGCACCGCTCCAAAGCGGCACGGCGCATGGTTGCTCGGCCCTTGAGGGCCGAACAGCTACTCCAGATTTCGTAACAAAAGGGAGGGGGTCTGGACCCTCCAAGACAAGCCATTTCAGACGCCATTTCAGACCTCCCCCGTGGGAGAACCCTCCAAAACATCGTCCCCAGACCCCCCAGGCCCTCCAAGGTAGCCTGGAAGAGACCCCCCCCGAAATGAGACCCCCCTCCATTTATGACGAAATCTAGAGTATGCACCGTGCCATCCCTGGGTCAAGGATCGGCGACGCCTCGGGAGACGACAGCGCGGCACGCTGCGCACAGAAAGCCGCCCGCGGGACGTGGATGCCACGCGAGGGGGCGGAGGGGAGGGTCTCCGAGGGCACGGCAGCAGGAGAGAGCACACGAATATAACAAACACGCCACAACCATAAACTTCTGGCGCTCCGCACGGATTTCTTGGATCTGCTCCTCCTCCTCCTCCTCCTCCTCCTCCTCCTCCTCCTCCTGTCCTCCTCCTCCCTACTCCTCGTTCTCCGCCCTACTCCGCCCTCCTCCGCCCTCGCCGACCCCCCTCCCTGGCGCGCAGAGCGCGCCAGGGGCGGCGCCGGAGGCGCCGCCAGGAGGGGGGGGGGCCCAGCGCGGCGGATCCGAGAAATCCGCGCGGAGCGTCTAAAGCAATGATTCTGGCGTGGTTTCTTCTTCAAAGTCCGAGGGCACGGCAGCAGGAAAACGCGGGTAGGCAAGCGCGTTCCACTACTCGCAACATAGCTACTCGCGAACGGCCTGGATCCGCAGCACCGAGGCAAACAAGCTACACTGTATCGAGCATCACCTGCGTTTGTTTTGTCCTGAAGTTTGCGAGCAGGCACTTTGCGAGTAGTGGAACGCGCTCGGCGAACAGAGGTTGAGAAGGGACCGACTGTCCCGGTATCCCTATAGGCTTACCACGACATGTGCTTAGAACCCCAAGCAATTCAAATAACCAACAACGCTGTTTTTAGAACATTAACCCGGCGCGTGATAACAAGACAGTCTCGGCCAGAACTGTTCGAAGAGCATCTCGCGCAGACCACACAAGGTTCTTAGAACAGTATTTGGTGGGCCTATCGGTGAGCGGTTTTTGATTCGGCGTTTCGACCTTGGGCGGCGACGCGGGGGTGGGAAAGTAGGGGGAAACAAGCCTACCTCGCTTTTGACCACCCTCGCTTCCAAGAGATACCAAGCGATGCCAAACTACGGCCTGTACTGGTCAGGCCGCTTGACGAGGAGGCGCGTGGTATGACTTGTTTTTTTCCTGGAAGCGAAAGCGGGGTAGGTAATTCACGCTATGAGAAAGGGCGGCTCTGGCTCCAGAGCTCTGCTGAGTTCGACTGCTTGCAAGAGTGCGGCCTCTGGGGGAGGCCCCCGCGGGCTCGAGGCAGGCGCCGCAACACAGCCAGGAACTGCTCTATGGGGGGGGAGAAGGGGGGGGGGGGGGGCGACGGCCCGCGCCGATCGGCAACGCAATGAATAGAATTGCCCCAGTGCGACCCTACCTAGAAGTTGGAGCCCCTAGGGAGGCAGCATTAGTTGATATGCTATGCTATGCTATGCTATGCTATGCTATGCTATGCTATGCTATGCCATGCTGCGCTGTGCTGTGCTGCGCTGTACTGCGCTATGCTATACTGTGCTCTGCTATGCTAAGCTCAGCGAAGCTAAGATGAAGGTGAGAAAAGCCAAGATACACCTGAGCTAAGATGGAGCTACGCTAAGCTAAGATGAAATAAGCTAAGCTAAGATGGTATCAGCAACGCTAAGCTAAGGGGACGTAACTAGGGGAACCGCGGGGCGGATCCTGGGGGAACCGCCCGGGGCGATTTACACTGCCCGGCCCGTTAAGCTCTAAAGTAGGAACCCTTCTAGGCAGAGCCTAGGTAGGGAAAAACGATCACTTGGCGAGCCAGGACGCTTCGCCACTGCTTGGATCCACAGCATCGAGGCAAACAAGCTCCATGGCATCCGACATCATAGGTTTTTGTTCGGACGTTTGCGAACAGGCACTTTGCGAGCAGTGCTAAGTCGGGCACGTCCCTCTACAGGAGGAGTATTCAAAAATAGTCACAACATAGTCTGGGGACGGTGTTCCTACAGCGGTTGTTCGAAACAATTTGAACATATGTGTTTTGATCATGTCTTGTTTCCCGCCCAGAATCCGCCTGTATGAGGACACGCCCGACCTAAGAGTAGTGGAGCGCGCTCGGCGAGCAGAGTTGAGCAGGGACCGACCGTCCCGGCATTCGTATAGTCCTACCACGGAGCGTTCTTGGAACCCACAGTTCTCCTAAGAACAAAGGCAAGGTTCTTAGAACTCAACCCCGATGTGTTCAAACAGGACGGTCTCAACCAGAGATGCTCTGAGAACATCTCGTGGAAGTGGAAACCTCACAAAGGTTCTTGGAGCACTGCTTTGAAGGGATCCTGGGACACACCAATGAATACACAAAACAAATACTTCCCCATATCTTATCATCTTTTCTGGGTGCTCGTCTTCCCCCCCCCCCACTTCCCATATTTCCCAATATTTTCTGGGGAATCGACGATTCATTGTGTCTGTGTGTTTTGCTCCCCTCCTGATGTTCGGCAGGGCTGTAGTGACTATACCTGCCAGACCACCCCAACCCAACTGGAAGACCCGCATTTCGGGCTGGGGGGGGTATGGGCTCCATATGCGTGTTTTTTCGATGCTCCCGGACCCCCCCACACACTGGAAACGGAGGGCAAAATGAGGCCTTCGGGTTGGGGACAAGGAAAGGCGACACCAACACCAACAGGGCGAGGAGATGCGAGGAGGCAAGGGGGGTCTCCCTGGTGGTGTGGTCCCCCCCCCTCTCGCTCGAGACATCCCCAGCCTCCAGCTCGGGGAGGCCTCGTGGACCTCCTCGCTGGAGGTGGCCCCCCCGTTGGTGTTGGTGTCGCTTCTCCTCCCTCCGATCGGGTTGGGCTGGGGGTGGTTTGGTGGGTGGTGATCTAGGCACTGCCGGGACGCGCCGCCACTGCTCGACCTCGGAGGGGGCGCCCGCCGAAGCCTCCGCCGTGCATCGCGCCGCCCTCGCCGCAGCCGCCCGACTCGCCGGGCAGCGGCCACCGCCTGCGCGTCGCCGCGGGGGGGGGGGTAGGAAGGCACCAACTATACACCAACACCGATCCTGGCCAGGATCACCCTGGGCCCAGGATCGGTGTATACGCCCTCCTGCCTTGCGCAAGAAGGCATATGCACCGATCCTGGGCCCAGGGTGATCCTGGGCCAGGATCGGTGTTGGTGTATAGTTGGTGCCCTCCGAGCGGGGGGGGGCGGCGGCGGCAGGAGCCGCGGCGGAAGCGCGGGCAGCGGGCCCCGCGACACTGGGAGAGGGCGAGGCAGCAGCCTCAGGAGGCAACTACTGGGAGGCTCTCGTCGGAAGGATTTCACGGGCAAAGAGCGGTGCAAGATAAACTTTTTCGCCGTCGGGGGCGCCTGTCCCAGGGCGGCTGGGAAATTTATACCCTTACGGTGGCACCGTAGGGGTATAAACTTTCCAGCCGCCCTGTGGCAGGTGTCCCCGACGGCGGAAAGTTTACTGTATATCGTTTTTCGCTCGCTGACTACAGGGAGGCTTTCGTCGGGAGGATTGAAGAGAACTGAGCCGCATTCGGAAGCTGTTGCGCCGGAGTGGGCCTCGGACCAGGCAGGAAGCCGGATTCAGCGGGATGAAACGCGATTCTGCCGCATTGAGCGGGATCGAGGTGGATTGAGCCGGATTTCGGGCCAGGGCGAAAACAGAATTTGACCTCCCAGGAGATGCATCCGAAGCAACTGGCGTGTTGGCCAGCGTGGACTCCAGAGGATTGGTTGCGCTGCACTCTGGAGCCCCAAGAATGCACGATCAGAGACGGTCCTTGCCTTTTTGAGTCTCTTTTCGTCGTCCCTCATTCAGGCTCGGCGGCATCAGCCGCAAGGCCTTCGCAGTCGAGGTGGGCACTTGACATGTTTAGGGGAACAAAAAGCGACATAAACATAAAAACTCGGAGGTCCACGCGGATTTCTCGGATCCGCGCTGGACCCTCTCCCTGGCGCGCGGAGCGCGCCAGGTGCGGCGCCGGAGGCGCCGCCTGGGGGGGTCTAGCGCGGATCGGAGAAATCAGCGCGGACCTCCGAGTTTTTATGTTTACGTCATTTTTGTTCCCCTCATGTTGGCCGGCGTGGACCCCAAACGATTGGCCATGCTGCACTCTGGATGCGCACGCTCTGTGCTGCAGGCATTGCATACTACGGGCGGCCACGAGGCGGCCGCGGCCGGCAGCGTGGGCCTCGCCCGACCCACCCGAAACGCACGAGGCAGCCGCGGCCGGCCACGCTGCGGCTCCTCGCCGGGCCGCCGCCAGCGCACGCGGCCGCCACGGAGCGGCCACGGGCGGCAACGCGGCGACGCCTCGCTGGGCCCGCCC